ATTTTATCAATATTTCGCCTGTTTTCATCAAGTAACTCAATGTTGCTTCAGCTCATAATTTAAATTAGACATTCGAAATTCAGATCTGAGCACCCGCTACAAAACCACAGAAATATCTCAATGGGACATTCGATTATGTCAGGAATGATTTACCTCAGCCGTGAGATTAATTTTGAAATTGTTGGCAAAGGAGCACAATCGGCTAACAACTGCTCGAGTTCACGAAGTTCCGATCGCGAACCTTAAACTTCGAAAATTACACGTCGATTACTATGCAAAGACGCACAAATTAAACCTGTCAATTTTGAAACAATAACAGAAACGAATAAACACTGAAACAGTAACAGAAATTAACCACGTCAAACGAATAAACAGTGAAAAGAGAATAAATAACCAAGTGATCGCAACAATGTGAGAATATGCCCAGAGAAAGCGTTGATTGAAAGAATGAGCATCTCATCCGGATGTGAGTATGATCCGAGCAACGGATACGTTAACGTCGGTGCTGCTTTACCCGTCAGATAAACCTTCGTCTTCGGCTTAATACACTCCAATCGTTCACGTAAACGCAACAATCGTTCACGACATCGAATTGAAACTGTTTCCGATAATAATCGACTTATCGATAATCGTCTGAAATCATTTCTTTGAACATACTCAAACGATTACACCAAACAGATCAACATTTGAATTGCAACAATGAATACGATAAGACGACTAATAATAACCACAAATTATAAAACATCCACTCACCCAGTACGATCATCGATTTGAGGTAAACCTTTACCCACAGGATAGTGTCTTACTTGCAATCCACTGTGTTCCATTAGCGGGTCGGAGAAAATTTTGAAACGATATTGTGACGTGTATCTGAATTATTGTTTGTTCAATGCAAATTACTGTTTAGTGTTCAGCTGAATGCTGCTTAGTTCATTCAAGAAACGATAACGAACCTGTTATGTTGCGTTCTAGTTAACCAATAGGATATGATCAGAACACGTTGTTTGGGATCATAGCGTTCAATGAGGGCATACTGTCGCATCTGGGCACTGATCACTCTGGTGGCTTGACACCAAAGCACGTCCAGTTGCAAAGACTGCGCAAATGAATGCAACATCGAATACACTTCATGCAACGGCTGAATTCGTTCACATTTACAATTACTCGTGACTATTCACTTTATTTTCAGTACTCTTGCAATATTTCCAAAATAAACAACAATAATAACAGTACAAACAAAATATGCCAAACACATTAAAATGAAAATATAATGAAACCTCTTCACTTTTATCCATCCTCAGTTGCAAAACATTATGAATGGTATTCACTTGCAAAGGATGCACCAATTTAGTGCCAAAACCAATCTCATAATCTTCAACTAATATTCGAATATTCAATAAAGTCCACTTTGTTATGGCTCGTTCACCAAGTAATGTTAATGATACTTCAAATTCACCCGGTACCGTCATATTCACCTGAAATCATACCCTCATTTTTTATTGAACAATATCTTTATCCCATTCGACAGGTAATTAATACGATCACAAAACAAACCATTCCATTTTTGATGACGATACTTTTGATTTTTGGTGATAGTTTTGAGGCGACCAGTGATAATCTCGACTGAATTACTTGATTCAATCGTAATAAAACACATGCTTGTTCACGTTGACTTATCGACGGATCACGAATAAAACGAGACTGAANTTATAGCAATGAACACCGGAGTATACTCATAAATAAATGAATGAGCAAATAGAATGCAGATGAAAAGGTGGTAACCTTAATACAAAGAGGTAATCTTGGATATGCACCCAATGTAAGAACATCGATTGCAGACGGTACTTGAAATGCCGGTAACCTGGTAATGAGCGAATTTTACTTTTAAACCAATTTTCATAGATGCATTTTTTCGAGTTCATTTTGAAATTTGCAATATTCAGCACAAATAGTGCAGAAAGCAACAGCAACAATACATCAGTAATGACAATAATATGCGTTAAATGACAATAATATAACGGTATCAATCATGAGCCCAATATTACTGTTTCAATAACTATAAAGCAATAGCAGATGTGTTAGACGAACCTGGCATGAACAAGCTCTTCTCGAGACAATTGAGCTAATCGATCGGCCGTTTCAATGAAATACTGCGCTTGTTGATCAAGAAAGTAACATATAGACTGAAATCGAATTCAAATAAAATTAAAATCAACAAAGCTTTTGATTCTGCTATCATAACGATAATTTACGCTAAAAATTTAAAATATTTCGCAAACAACAAAGATTTACAATTAAGATTATAATTGCAAATAGAAACGAACCGCACAAGATTCGAATTTTTTCGACGATTTCACCCATTTAACAACAGCTAATAATTTGATGAACAATGTACGAGTTGAATGCGCAAACTGAACAATGCTTATCTTTCGATCAGCATCCAGTTTCTTTGGAAGTCTGAAAGTACTTATTTATTCGGTAATCATTTGAATTCAGATTCATTTGGATTTGAAATGATTAAGTCATTTTTAGCATTACATTTCCACGACAATAATCGTTCAGGTGACAAGTACTTAAAAATCAAACAGGAATATGTTAAATAAATATTGAATAAATATTTCATAATTCTTAAATATTTCATCTGTGAAATATTTAAGTATAATTTATTACAGAATTGAGTGTGAATAGAATACTCCTGGAAAGTAAAGGTACCAAACGCAGTTAAGTAAAATTGCGAATATAAGAGGAAAAGGGACTACTCAAGAAATAATGTCAGCAAAGAGTAAAATGAGATCAACGAAGCCGACAGTAAACACAAAATTTAGCGAGTAAATTTGTTCCCTCGAAGAAGCATCGATAAAATTATTGGAATGAATAAAACGAACAAATGTCACATAACACTAATCGATTTTGTACTTTATATACTGTCAGCGATAACCTTAAAAAATAATCACAAAAACAATAATGAAAATAATTTACAGTTCAGAGAGGACTGTTAACTCGTGAAGTATCTGTTGTACAGCAAACTCAATCAACAGTCCTAAATTGATGACTGGTGGACCACATTTATCGGGTACCGTTGGAAGCATTGGCTTCATGTACTCTTCTTCATCCTCCATTTCGTATCCTCTACGAGACATTTCTTAAAGTTTGTTCAGTTAAAGTATGAACTCATTAGTTGAGCCTTTCATTTATCGTTATTATTATTGTTATTATTATTATTATTATTATTATTATTATTATTATTATTATTAGGAACATCAATGTTTTGAATGCAACAATGCATTACAGTGTAGTTGATCAACTCAGTGCGAACAGAATACATCGCGGTTGTTCAATTTTTCGACAAAATGGAGTTGAGGCTCGAATAATTTCCTTTTTACTTAAACTATCATTATGTTTGACTAATTTAACAACTTATGCGAAATATCCTTCAACATCATTTGTTTATATGAGAACTTTGCAGTCACAGTGATTATTTACCTATCGGAAACGACGGCATTCACGCGTCGTACACACGGTTGGTCCAGATTTACCCATAAAATGCTCGAATGGACACAAATCTGCAAAGCCGATCATCAAAGAATGCTTTCATCGATTCGCTATTCAACCAGTCAAAATTGAATGTTAATTACATAACGAATCATCGTATGAATTTGATGGTGAATAATTCCTACAAGCTCAACGATGCATGCAAAGTTTTAATGGAAAGAAGCACAAATCCTAGAGAAGAGTGTTAATTGACAACTTTTCACAGAAACATATCACGAGCTTCAAAGTGATCATTCCGATGACTTTCGCTGTATGATTTATCTGAATACTTTCTCTGAGCATTTCACTTTAGTTCATCAAAACAATTTAAACTGAAAACAAATCAAAATTTGGCCATCAATATGCTCAAACCTAGAATTTCGAAACTTCGATATGAAGGCTATATATTTAAGGAATTATACAACGAAATTGTTTCGTATTTTTGAGTGCTTAAACATTGAGCCGATAACATCATAAAACAATAATACTATAAAAACAATTTAATAAAGTGAATAAAAGTATAAAATTGAATAGTATGCCAATTAGTATGGATTAGAGCCAATTGATACAGATTCATTTCAGTAAGAAACGTAAAAATTTAAGAGCGGAATACCATATTTAAACATTGAAATAAAGCAACCTCTGAGGACACTTTGCTGCTCGCATCTCGAAAAAAAAGGAGCATAACCAGCTTTACATACTTCTGTCACTAGCACTACGTTCCGAACACGGCCAAAAAAGAGGTTGAACAGTGCAAGCGTAGAGTGTCACTTGTATAGTGGCGAGACCACCTGAGCAAATGCACTAGCAAAGCTGCCAAAAGCAGATGTGTGGTTGCGTTAGTAATCGAAGAATGCAACGCGTTTCGAATACGATTGGTTGAAGCATGCCACGCCCGCATATAAAATGGCCCTAGAATTGTGCTGAGAATCAGTTGAGAGAGAATTTCGCGTTGAGTGTTTTTGGATTTGTGAAGATCGCGAATAGTACTAGTTCTCATTTTACTTTATCAATAGTGCGGTTTTTTTCTTTAATAGAACGGTTGTTAATCCAGTTTATGAACTATTTTCTTAAGTTTATAACATGAGCGTATCTGGGAGTATCGATTTGTATGCTCAATCAGTTCATGTATCTTCGATAATTGTCAGATAAAATAATCGTGATAGAGCACTAATCAATATGTCGGCATCTAGGTATATACTGGTAGATGAAATATAAATAAATATCGAGAACCTCAACGGCAAACCCAGTCTGTATCGCTGCAAGATTATTCAGCTGCAACACTGTCTAATACCAATGTAAAATGACCATAGTACTGTTCTTGATCGATACAAGCACAAGTATGAGCCAAAAGACTTATCAGGGCACAAGTCTTCTTGATACGGCACGTATTATCGTTGAACAATTTCTCAGGGTTAGATTTTATGCTTGCTTTTTATTTTTTATTTTATCATATCTGCATTTCTCCATCTATTCGCTCTTCTTGTCTGTGCGTATCACCAACAGTCTGCGTTCCATTGACTGATGAGGACGGAGTGCGTACGTATCGAATAATTGAGGAATTATCGTCTTTTTCTAAAGAATAAAATACAGACCATAATCTTTTTGCTGGAAACAAAACCAAAAAAGTGATTTACAGCAAAGAGGGCGGGATGCAAACGCAAGAGATCGTTATATGTTAATGTCATTTGAGGAATTCCCAAGCAATGTTAAGGTGGGTGAATATCATCAACATACTTTTGTATTCATGTCAATATGCCTTTGATTTCAGTCGAATTTTTATCGTTAAAAATACCTCTCATGCATCCAAAATGGAGCCATGAAGCAATAATCTGCCATTATCACTAAATCATCTGACGTCGTTTAACGAAGTCGCATGAAATGTTTTACTTCATTCGCAAATCATTGCCTGAATGATCGTTATCGTGCTCGCTCAAGTGATCAGTGCTCTGATTTTGGGTGCAGTCAACATATGGAACTGTTGAAATATGAAAAAAA